TCAAGCAAGGCCTCAAAGATCCTTCAAATAGGCTTTCTTCTTAGATAGGCAATGTTTGCTGCCAATGGAGTGGTGTTCAATGCAACAAGACATCTGGACATGTCATCAAGCTTGATTTGAGAAATCCATTTCCATCTATCATTACTTAACACTTGTTGAAATTTGTGGACAATTTACAAGTTGAAGTCAAGCCAAAGTGATTTTCAACACTTGTTGAAATTTGTGGACAATTTACAAGTTGAAGTCAAGCCAAAGTGATTTTCAACACTTGTTGAAATTTGTGGACAATTTACAAGTTGAAGTCAAGCCAAAGTGATTTTCAACACTTGTTGAAATTTGTGGACAATTTACAAGTTGAAGTCAAGCCAAAGTGATTTTCAACACTTGTTGAAATTTGTGGACAATTTACAAGTTAAGTTAAACCAGTATGATGTTCAACACTTGTTAAAAGTTTACAAGAAGTTTGTCTATCCGAGGTGTGTCACCCCGAGAAGATTGTACAAAGAAGGAAAAGTGTGTGAAAAACATGCAGAATATTCTAAGTATAGAATCACGCAGAAGCAATGAAGAGAAGACAAGAGTACAAGCACTTAGAAAAGAAAAGTTGCATTAGCATTCATCAAGAAAAGGGCACATCGGCCATACAAAAGGCTTATATTGTTCCAAAAGATAAAGAAGAAACTAAATACAACTAAGCAAAAGAAAAACATGAAGCTAAGACTCCTATCCACCAGTTGGTTGAATTTGAAGATCAGATGATTGTTGAGAAGACATCTCAGCAGCCTTATCCGCCGCGACCTCGACATCAATTTTTGCAAGAGTGTCATCAAGGTTCTTATCAGCAAGGATGACATCGGCTGATTCTTTCTCATCAGCAGCATCTTTGTTAACCTCATCGCCTTCTTCATCTTGAGTCAAGTCTAGGACTTGCTCATTTTGAAGAGGGGACTTGGCCCCACCAACATCTTTGGATTTTCTTACCAAAGCTTCATCCTCTTCCTTGTCACCATCCTCAGATTCAGATTCGCCGACGTCTTGACTTGGAGGTTGAGCTGGAGGGAATGAAAGAAGAATGGCATCAGCTTTCCTCAATGGTGAGTCCTCTGGGACATTAAGTTTCTTTAGAAGGGACATCCAACCAAGGGTGAAACCCTTGTTACATGCCACATTCACTTGTTGTTCATAGGCATCTGTAACGTCGGCCATGCCTTGGGCATACGCCTTCTCGTCGGCATCTTTTATTTCGGCTTCTTTGGTGGCCAGTGCCTCCTGAAGCTCCTTTTCGGCTTGGACCATTTTTTCTTCGGCTTCACTCTTCTAAGACTCAGCCACTTTCCTGATAGCCTCAGCAGCCTCAGCCTTCTTTTCGGCATTGGTCTGAGCTTTGATTGCAGCCTTGGCTTGGTCCTCCAGTTTTTTCATCTTTGATTGAAGACCTTTGTTGGTCTTTTGGAGGGAAGAGAACTCCCTCTTCATCTCGGCAAGCCTCTCCTGATTCTCAAAAGACTGCATTGAGAAAGAGTGGACATGCTGGATGACCTGAAAGAAAACAGAAGTATTAGAGAATATTCAAATTACGAAATAAAGAGAAAGAAAGAAGAAAATTACCAAAATAGAAGACATCTACCTGAACGGAGTGCTGAAGCATTAGAGCATAATGCTCATACTCACTGTACTGGGCGTTTCGCTCCAAATCGCCTGGTAACAACAGAGCAGTACTGAGCGCAACGCCGACATTAATATCCTCGGCACTGTCACTTGCCATAACAGGCTTGTCTTCCAGAGTAATTGAGGGGGCCCAGGGGGCATTAGGTTTTTTTGATCCCGAGGTTGTTGCAGAAGAAGACCTCGGTTTTTTTGGTTTTTGGGATTTTGGTGGTTGAGACTCAGAGCGCCTCTTCCCAGCAGAAGGCTGAGATTTATCACTCTCAGCCAACTTTGAGATAGGCAAGGTGTCTTCAGATTCAACCTGAGCTATCTTAGCCTTTGGTTGAGCCTTCTTTATTCTTTTCGGCTTTGGTGGAGGTTGGATTTGTGCTGGTTAGTCGTCAACAGATGATGGAATGCTGGCTAGAAGATCTTTTGCAACTGGTTTTGGGCGGCCCATCTCGGCAGTAAGGACAAGTCGTCGCCGATGTTTTCGTTCGGATATTGGGACCAAGTATAGAGCCGAAGTTGATGGCTGATCAGCTGGATCGGATGTTGATCCTTGATCTGTTCGTGATGTGGATGCAGTCAATGGAGTTGTAGCAGAGGGTGGAGAAAGGCTTTTCTTCTTCCTTTTGGGAACGTCGGGCAAAGTTAACTTATATGTTGGAACAAAATTGAGAAGCACAGGCGCTTTCCTTTTATGGACTGGCAAGTCCAGAAGTTTCTTCAAATCCTTGCTGGGAACAAAAGATTGGCGAAAATTTTTCGGTGGCTTACGAACAACTGCAAGAAGAACAGAAAATTTTTTCGGTGGCTTACGACGTCAAAAACAGGCAAAGCTGAATACTGGGCTGTTACCCTTGCCCTCTAAAATTGATCGACGAAGAGGGTAGAGATGAATGTCCTCGTCTGGAGGAAACTCCTAATTTCCCGAGGTAATGAAATAGTCATCTCCAGCCCCCTTGTTGGAGTCTGGGAGGTCGGCTACGATTTTGAATTCTGTAGACCTCGGCTTAAGGTAATAAATGTAGCATTTTTCTTTCAAATTAAGGGCACACATAGTATAGCAGTACTGGATATCGGCTAGGGTGATCCTAGCATTTTCTTGTTTAGCTAAGGCTATGATGCCATTGATCACTCGGTAGGAATTGATTGCCAGTTGCATGGGGTTCAACTTATAATAGTGAAGAATCTCACGAAAAAGGATGTTGAGTGGGAGCCGGAGTCTGCACTTAGTAAAAGCTACAATGGGAAAGGGCATCGAATCATCTGTGGGCATGATGGAGTCGTTATCTCCAGCCAGCCTCAGATGGACATCGGTAGGGATAGAGAACTCTTGCCTAAAGTACTCAAGTTTGGTCAGGGTATTTATCCTATGTCTCCACATACCCATGATATCGGCCTGAATTAGAGGGGTTGGATTTTAGAGAAATAATGTTTTGAGAGGGTAAATAAGACCTCGGCAAAAATCTAGGTAAAGTACTAGTTTCAGTTTTTTCCTAAATTATGGGTTCTGCACAACAAATCCGAAACCTAGATCTATGAAAGCAAGGGTTGAAGGCACGGATCTGGAAGATAGAAAGGCAAAGACGTGCTTTAGAATCAAGAACAGGGATGGGATATCAAGAGCATAAATAACACGAGAAATAAAGGGTCAAGAACAGTAACAAGAATGCAAGAAAGTGGTGAACAGTATGTATTCAAGATATGCGCAAGATCAAAACCATTTAATAAATATGTTCAGATATGTGATTCGTAAGATTTGAAACAAAAATGGCAACAAGTAATGAAGAATATCAACAGAATTGAAAACGAAAGGAACAGTAGCTTACTAGAAGAAGTAAGGCCGGAATAAGGTTTGCCGAAGTCAGACGATGGTTACAGGAGTAACAGAGTATCGAAAGCTTCACCAGAAAGACGAATGAAGACAATTGCAGAACTTGGGATTGGAACAATGGCGTATTCAAGAGCTAGAGAGAGAAAAAGCGAAGAGAAATCGAGTGCAAAAGTGAAAAAATGAAGAAAGGGGGAAAGGCTTTGTCAAAAATTTGAAACGACGGCAAAATAGAGCATTGAATGCGCCTGGAACAACGCATACGTCAGACGGCGCATATAGACGCAAGACGACTTACAAGCGCGTCATGGGCACGGTCTAATGAGGTGAAGACGCGTGAATGAAACAGTTGAGTAAAAGATGCGTGACAGCTCACACACGTGAAAGAATTCACTGGCATTCTTGTTCTCTGAAGAAAACATGTCGGCCTGAAATGGATGATCTCGGCTGAGGAGTTCTTGAGTCGATGTACAGAAGGAAATACCGATATAGGTTCCATCACCTCAGAATACCGAGGTAATAGAATCTAGGGGTAGTTGTGGGGATATATTTTTGAGTACCGACACGTAGCAAGGTGACGCCGACGTGTCAGCCGACGTGTCACGTGTCAGGGTCATAACACCGAGATGATCTCGGTCAAGCCGAGGTTATCTCCGAAGACATCGGAATCCGAGAAAAGCGGATAAGAGATAAGGGACAAGAGTCCTAGAATGAAGAGGAGACTTAGTCAAGATGAGGATAAAACTCTTAGGAAGTTTATCTTTATCTCTTGAGGAGTCCAAAGTAAGTACTGAATTGGAGTCCATAGAAGTGAGGCTTCTAGTGGGACTAAGATTGAGTTAACTATAAAAGAGAGGCACCCCCGTGGGTCTAAGGTACGCAATTTATGCTTTGAGCAGTGAGTTTAGCACTTGATTATCTTTGAGAAATATACTGACTTGATCGTCGGAGTACCCCCGGGTGGAAGAACCACCGCCGGAGCCTTCTCTTTCTGTTGCAGGTTAGCTGAAGCCATCTATTCTGCCGGTGCTCTCTAGCTGATTACTAAACGGGCAGTGTGATCAGAAAATCACTCACACACTTAGTCAATTTTTCATTTATTAGTCATATAGATAGAAAAATGATGTTATCATCTTTTTTATATTGAAATGTATATATATTCGGAAAATTATTCAATACTTTCGGAGTATCACATGTCCATATTCCAAGCCAATCACCAATTACTTAGTCTCATGTTGTTTCCCCGTTTCCAACATAAATCGTGGGCCCGTGTGCCTTTCCACCAATCAAAACCTTATGGAGCACCACGTGTTCATACTCCGGGAGTACTGAATAATCACCCTATATATTCTACCCAATTTTTTTGATCAGCTATTCTACCCAATTTATTCATGTGTTTACACATTATGTACATTAATTTCAATTGTTTTAATTTTATTAAAAAGAAGTCGATGTACTCATCTAAACTTTAGGAGTATGCAGTATAATGTCTAATTGTGATTGTTTATATTTATAGGAAAGTGAAGCAGTAGAGGAACTAAAAGAAGCCTTTAAAGTATTTGACAAGGATCAAGATGGCTACATATCACCCAATGAGGTTAATTCTTCTTCATATTTCTTTTACAAAAATATTTCTAACACAAGATAATAAATTTTACTTGCATAAGAGCATAAGACCACTTGCACCTTAATATTTTTAGAATTGTTTTGAACTCTTCACACTTACTTGCAAAGTTATTTCAAATTTTATCTACTTTGTATTTTCTTATTAATTATTATGTTTTTTGTCATTTTGTTGGCAGTTGAGAAATGTAATGTTTAACTTAGGAGAGAGGCTGACTGATGAAGAGGTGGAGCAGATGATTAGAGATGCTGATTTGGATGGTGATGGTCTAATTGATTACAAGGAATTTGTTAGAATGATGTTGGCTGCATGACAAGTTCACCTTTTAAAGATGTGTAAAACAAAAGTAAAGCAAAAAAAAAAATTTGCTACTTATCATCATTTTTTTTTACTGTTTTATATCACTGAATTTTATAACAAAATATTATTTTGCATCATGCTTTTAATGAAATAATTGACCCAAAATTCACAAGGATTCATCGTGAAGCAATGAACTCTAATTTCCAACATGTTTCCAATCAACCCACCAAAATCTAGATTGATAATTCTAGAGAAAAAGTTCAAATTTGTAATTTTATTTTTCATTGTGTTACACTGGTTTCTAATAATAATATAAAAAAAAAATCCATCTTACTTAATGGCCTTTCCTCTCTATTCTTTCCCTTCGTATGGGTCGGTTGCCTCACCATGATTAAAACCCTAAATGTCAATTAGACAAGCCACCTAAAAATATTTTTGCAGGTGCAATGGGGGGTTAAACAGTTCTAACTATAAAGTCGATATTTTCTAAAGATTACAGAGATTTTTGTTTTATTGTCCAGCACGGACATTAAATGAATTTTTTTAATATGCATTTTTTTTTTTTATGTTAGACCAATTTAATCTCCAACGTGAATGGAATTGGTTAAGTTATTGGCAACTAAACAAAGGAATTGGTTAAGTTATTGGCAACTAAACAAAATATTTTACGTTTTAATACATTTTGGCTTTTTGGTCAATAAATTTCAATTACAAGAAACCAAAAAATTATTAATAGATTTTGGCTTTTTGGTCATTAAATTTCAATTACAAGAAACCAAAAAATTATTAATGTATTTGTTAAGTTTTATTTTTTTTTAAGTCATATTTTTTTATAAATCGATATGTTTAGATGTTTCTTTCTTGGTTAATCTCTCCATGTTTATATTATATCCTAGCCTAGATTACTACATGTGCACATGTAGGAGTGTACAAATGGCCCATGACTTATGGGCAGCCCGAGGTGGGCCCAACCTTATTAGGCCCGGGCCTAAGCCCAACTCAGGACCTTGAGCCGAGGCTTGGGCCATCATTTTGAAGTCTGGCCTGGCCCGGCCCGGCCCGCTCAAGGCCCATTCAAAACTCGTCCCAAGACCCAATGTCATTTTTTAGTGAAAAAAAAAAAATGTTCAAGCCCTATCCAAGCTCGAGCCAAGGCCCAGGCCCACCCACTGGCCTACCCAAGGCCAGAATACCCCCTGCGCCTAGGCCTAGGCCTAAGTTTTTGGCTCGTGGGCCGGCCCGAATTTTGGTGAGAGCCCGCGAGATTTGACATGGGCCAGCCCAAGCCCGGGCCCGGGTCCGGGTCCGGGTGGGCCAAATCGGAGTTGATTTCAATGCTTGGTGGTTATCAATGAACCCCGATCAATGGAGAAAGATATGATCACCGGTGGTCCTCTTCCATGACAAACACGGTGACAGAAAAATGTAGAAAAAAAAACGAGAGAGGAAGGGAAGCAAAAAGCAGAGAGAGAAGAAAGGACTTTTGGGTGTAGTGAAAAAGTTATGGGATTAAATGGAGATCACATGTTTCCCATGGGACCTATGGGTAATTTCCCCTTTTTTTTTTTTGGTTTTTTGTAAGTTATTTTTGAATGGAGAATTATCATTTCAAAATTAATTTCTTGCACTAATTTCGTGCAATGTACATTGTCACAAGCAAACCTCAATAATTGTTTGTAATGGGTTAGAAAAGCTACAAAGGAGATTTTTGTTGGAGAGGGGGGGATGATGAAAGAAGAAGACTTCATCTTGTAAGATGGAGCTCCATCACTAAAGTATGAGAATAGTTCAGAAGAATTCCCTATGACTAAATAAACACTATGGAGGCACGTGGTAATTCAGAAGTATAATCTGAGAATCAATAATTGGTTCCCAACTGACCTTCAGTACTCTTCTAACTGTTCTAGACTTTGGAAAGGCATTCTTAGCATTTTCTCTAACAATGAGGACTTTAGAAATCTTCTCCTTAATAATCTGATACTAAAACTTGGATTGGGCGTGGACATTCTCTTCTGGTCTGATACTTGGATTAATAACAGATCACTTGCTATATTGTTTCCAACACTTTTCTCCCTCTCTTCAGCAATCGTATGATTGGCCCATGTTGGAACCTTCTCTTCCGAAGGAATCTGCTTGTATGGGAGCATGAAAAGCTTCAGGAACTTCTCCATCTTTTAAACAATTTTCTCCCCCAACTTGAGCGTAGTGATAGTTTTCAGTGGAAAATTGACAAGTTTGGTATTTTCTCTGTTAAATCGTTGGAAGAATGTTGCTCCATCCAAAGTAAAAATTATCTCAGTGCTGGCTAGAACCTATGGAAAGCTACAAATAATCTTATTTTCAATCAGCAACAAATTTGCTGGGAAAAACTTATTGGTGGTGTGAAGCTTCAAGTGGCCTTTTGGACAAAGACAAATTCAGGATTCTCTTGTTTGTTCACCACTGACTTCATGCTCTATATTCATGAGCTCAGGAAAATCAAATCTAAGAGTAGAATAATATACCTCCTGATGTGACTTCCCAAGGAATATATATATATTTTTTTTGATGACAGTGTTGTTATTAGTGTCTTAGTTGGCTTCTTGCTTTCTATCCTTGTGCTTATTATAGGCTACTTCATCATCGGGTATGTTCTCCAATACAAGGATTTCAAACCTCTTGATTTCAGCATCTCCAATACTGCTGGAGCTTGCTGATAGGCCAAAATGGGCTGCTTCATCATCGGGTATGTTCTCTGTTTCCTCTATGTACAAGTCTTGTGTTGCTGGCCTTGGTCCTTATCTCAGATTCAGTAGAATGGTTTGGAAAAACACCATTCCCCCCAAAGTTCAATGTTTTGGATGGTTGGCATGAAAACACAAAGTGAAGACTGCCGTATTTCTGCAAAGAATTGGAGTGTTTAGTGGCAATGCCTTTATTCTTTGCTGTTTTTGCAAGGCTGGGAATGAATCAATGGTTCATGTTCTGTTGCACTGCCCATTTAGTTAGAAAATTTGGTCGGCCTTGCTGTCATGGTGGGGAATTCAATGGGTTTTACCTGGGACAGTTGAGAGTTGTTGTTTTGGTGGGATGGAGGGTGCTTCAAGAAGCTAGAAAGGAAAATTTGAAGAGCCATTACTTTGGCAGTCTTGTGGTCTATTTGGAAGCTTCGAAATGAATGCGTGTTCAAGGGAGTGCAGTCTGATATCTGGGAGCTGTGTGAGCTTATCAAAATTGATTGGGCCATCGGCGAAGTCTTCCTTAAAGCAGCTTCATTTCTTTGTTAATGACTTTGTATTCAATATTAGGCAGGTTAGAGTTTGCATAGGTGGTGATCGTGCTAGCTGAATTTGTTGGAATCTTTCCAACATTGTATTTGTGTGATCCTTGGGTGTGCACATGATTGGTCTTGCATTGGGTGCCAACATAGTTGGAATGTAATATGTAGACAATGATGCAATTTTCCCCAAGCTCTTGTAACCTTCTTCTTCTATTTTAATAATATTTCTTTCCTTTGCTGATCAAAAAAATAAAAAAAAAAGATAGTCATAAAAAAAGTTCAAACCTTATTATGAAAAGCTCCAGAGTCAAAACAAACAACATGAGCCAAACTAGTGCCGTCATGTTTACAACAAAACAATATGCAACTTTGAAAAACAATCATCTAGGATATAACTCGGTAATGGAAACCTCATTCACAGAGGAACTACCAGATTGCTTACTCCTTGGTTGAGTCAATTCTGAATCAAAATCTTGCCCCAGTGATGTGCTTTCAGGAGGATTAATGGTGCTGTGCATGAAAAATGTTGGTTGTGACAGCAGTGAGAGAGTGAGAGAGAAGCTACTAAGCATGAGTACAACTGAAGCCATGGTTGGTCTATTTGCTACATTTTCTTGAACACATAGTAATCCAATGTGGATGCATTTTGATGATACAGCGTGTTCCAGATGGAACGGGTCAGACTGATCCACGCTTCCCAAACTAGTGTCCGAGGTACCAAGCCCACAGAGGAACCTGCACAAGAGTTCAACGGGGAACGGGGAGTCCCCCAGCGAACCCTCCGACGAGCAAGTTTGAAAGAGAGATGGACTGTAGAGATAGATTAGAGATAGAAAGCTTAACCTTCTTATTGTCTTCGACATCTGCTTATATCCTCTGGTAATCATTTCGTTGTCCCTTCCGACCTGACATCTTGGCCGAAAGTCTGTGCTCTAGCTTGCCTTGTTCATGGTGAGGCCGTTCCGTCTTGACGAGAAGGGGTTATCGCAAAAAATGTTGTAAGGGGCTTCATTAATGGTTGATGTGCGGTGCAATAACTTTGTAGGATCTTTGTCTGCTTATGCGGCTTGTCCTTCACTTGCCACGTGTCTAGGTGTCATTGGTTCTTGATGCCATGTTGAGCTCCAACAACGCTGGGCTTTAGTATTTGAATTATGCATTAGGCCCTAAGTGGTGGGCTATACCCTTTATGGGGTTACCCATATCAGTAGTCCCCCATTCCCAAGTGCAGCTTTAGTCCAATGAAGGGAATAATGAAGAAGACGATGGTTGTGAAAGACCGGGGGTCGAAGACCGACCGATAGGTGGGCCGACGGCGATGGGTGGCCGATAGGTGGGCCGACCGCGAAGGGTGACTGAGTGGAGGGTCTGACCATGAGGAGGGCCGACCGTAAAGGGTGACTGAGTGGAGGGGCAAGTGCCAGTGCACGGGGCTCGAGGAGTAGAAGGGCACGTGGTGATTTGAAGTGGAAAAGACAAGGTAGGGGAAAGGGGGCAGTGGATCGTGGTCGTACACATGGTGGAATCCCGTGATGGGGGAGGTTAGGCGTTGGGCCAGAAACGAAAGGGTGGGTTAATATAGGGTGTGGAAAAGGCAGTTTTGGCAGATTTTTTGAAAATTTTCAAGCTGTTAAAATTTAATTGTGACCCTTAGAATACAGGCAAGCCTTGGGCTTTTGGTATTATCCGCTTTACCTACCTTTTTGCGAAGAATCAAAACGTTCCAGAAGTAAACTCTTTTGTGTCGAGTGATATACCTCTGCAACATTTTGTGAACCACCTTGTGCCCGCGTCCGAAGCCATTCGCAGACACACAAGAGAAATGGCTCAAGAGGAAGTAGCAGCCGCAAGGCTTGATTCGTTAGGCGACGACGATGGAGTAGGGTTGGCGGAACAGTACCGTGCGGAGCGAAGGGAGGGGGGGTAGGTGGTCAGGCGGTGCGGG